CATTTGGTGCAGGATCTGCCCCCGAAAGTATGTCTGCAGCAGCATTTGGTACAGGATTTGTCTCCGAAAGTAAGCCTGCAGCAGCATTTGGTACAGGATCTGCCTACGAAAGTAGGCCTGCAGCAGCATTTGGTACAGGATTTGCTTCCGAAAGTAAGCCTGCAGCAGCATTTGGTACAAAATTTTCCTCCGCAAGTAAGCCTGGATCATTATTTGATGGTATATTTTCCTCCGAAATGAAGCCTGCAAGTTTCCCGTCAGCCTCTACATCTGCGAGTACCATCGGAAGCAAATCTTGTACACCTCCGTTTGGAGTTCCACCTCCGTTTGGAGTTGCATCCGGAATTATGCCATCAACACCGGCATCTGAGGTTTCCTCTAAGAAGATGCCTTTTGCAGCTACTTCCAGGAGTGTGCATAGTGATCCGGCCGCTTCTAACCCCGAGTGTGCTATAGATAGTGCCGGAGTGGAGTCGCAAAGTCTGTCTGGGGACACATTCTCTTCGAACAGTATGAATTCTGAAAGTGGCACTCAGCCGTTGTTGGCTTCAGTATTGGATGCGAAGCCTATCGATATGTTAACCGCTGAACTCGAGGCTGAATCTGATGTGTATTTCAAACCAGTTGTGCACTTAGAGGAGGTGGAAGTTAAGACGGGAGAGGATGAAGAGGACGTGTTGTTTGAGATGAGGGCGAAGCTATACAGATACGCTGACGATCAGTGGAAGGAGAGAGGCGTTGGCCCTGTTAAGTTGCTGAAACACAGACAGAGCGGTGTTGTGCGCTTTCTACTGAGAAGAGACACAACGTTCAAAGTAGCGGCCAATCATCGTATTACCAGCAATATGCAACTCAACCCTGATACAAACGTGCGCATCTTCTCCTGGGTGGCTCCGTCGGATTTCGTCGACGGTGTAAGTAGAAGACAGATGTTCAAAGTACGTTTTATTGATGATGAGACGGCGGAGATCTTCAAAATACTCTTTGAACATAGCGTTCGGGCTGCCAAAGTTATAAAAGATACTGCGAAAGCCCAGAAAGACAGTGCTGAGCCAGGTTCTGAAGCTTTGAATCAATCGACTGATACTCCTTGGTACGGATCGATACAATGTACCGGTGCTCCTGACGAACATATTGATATCTCTTCTTGGAAGTTTACTTCAAATACGGACACGGCATCCAACCAGGTAAGTTATATACCGGTCTGTGGTTGAAACACCGTTGAGATTCACAATGCCCGATTGGCATTCTGCCAAGTATAAGTTTCACCTGCAGCTTCGAATTCAGCGTATAGCACTGCTTACAAGATCAACGACAATAATCATATATGTTATGTATGTTAACTTCTTTTATTATGTATTCCGAACAGGACAAAGCCAGCGAGGCGAAAGCACCATTCGTATTCAAGTCGGATGCCAAGACGACCGCATCACCAGCCGACAACGTACCCAACTTGTCTCTGGGCACATCCGCCGATGGAGGTAACATGAATCTTCATACAAAGGCTTTCACTTTCACTCAGCCAAGAGATTTTTCTAGTACTGTAAAAGCTAAGGCTACCACAACACCGAGCGCGAGGAGCCCAGGACGCGCATCTGGCCAATCAAGTTTTGCAAAAGCTAAAAAGCTTAATAATGGCGGAAAGGAAACACATGGCAAGTTCAATATATTTTCGTTGCCCCAATTAGTGGAGGAAATGCACATATCCTCCGCAGCCTCACAGGATCTAGTAGCGAGTGTACAGGCAAAGCTGAACATGCAAAGGCTACGGGAGTACGAGAGGGATAGTACAGTTCTGTTCAGTGGCGAGGCTACCCTTGAGATGTTGGGGCCTGTGATTGAGGGCTGGAAAACTTTCGGAAGTGGAATTGTGCAGATACTGGAACACGTAAAGAACGGTGTAGCACACTTGGTGTTCTATAGGGGCGCGCGTGTAGCCTTCGGTTCTACTGAAGATTCTGTTTCGAATAGTCCACTTGTTTTCCAACAGATTAACACTGATCTCCAATTGCAACCCCTGCACGTGAAGGATGATAAGCACGCTGTAGCTTGGGGCAAAGAATGGAGCGATGTGTTCGGCGATACGTGCAAAGTGCGGTTGGACAACGAGCGTGCATTGAAGTGCTTCGAGAGGCTCATTGATGTGCTCCGGAAGAATCCACTTCTGAACCACGATTCAGTGCAGCACGCCACCGTTGATAGCGGAGCGGAAATCAATTCGAAGGATGTGAGTGTGGAGTGTAAGACGGTTTCTCCGGCCAATCAGGTATTCAGGTGTCAGCGACGAGAACATACTATGCAGCTCATCGCATACAGTTCTCGCGAAACGTTCTGCACATCTCGTTATGCGCACAGCTCGATCACAGACATCCCTCTCCAGTCAGTACAATTAGTGACCTCGACAGATTCGGGCGAGATGTGGGCTAAACTCCGTGAGACGAGCACGTTGTTCGCCAAGATAGCCACTACACGCCCACTCTTCCTATCCCAGGTAGCGAATGCATGTGCTGTATTCAAGTCAACTTTGCGTCGCTGTATGGCGTGTATGCAGCGAGCTCTGGATATGTACCAGTCGAGTTTCGATGTCATGCATGAGAAGACCCCGATTGCAGTGGAGAAGGCCCTATCATTCAAGGCGGACTTCGAGGCCAAGCAGATAGCGATCAGTCAGTTGGCTGAGGTTCCAGTTGCTATGGTGACGGAGAGGGACATTCTGAGGACGAATTGTGTGGCTAGTGTGCGAGATGCTTTGGTGTGTGTATCCGCAGCGAGGGATATGTATGCTGGGTACGCTGCACTCCACGAGGATTTACTGGTGTGCCGTGCCTGGCTGGATAAGTGGACGTCTCAGACATCAGGAGAGTCACTTTGGTGGGGTGCAGCTCCCGGAGCTTCACAGGCTGAGAAGGGGAATGTATTTGCATCACACATCAGGGAAGAGGGAGTGGAAGATGGGGATGCGACTACATCAAGATCCAACTTAAGTGGGCAACATGTTACGAATGAGTTGGGGCATCTGGGCCCGACATTTGAGTGCGGCAACGAAAGTACTACATCGGCACTAGATAAAGATGATGACACACTTGATCACGTGACTGCGCAATCGGTCCGTAGAGACACGACTGAATCAATGAGCGTCACAGACGAGGGGGTTGCACAGACTGATAGCAAGAGTACCGGATATAGTTGCGAATCACATGACAAACCTATGGATGGGACAGGCTCTCGCACAAATGCCGGCGTGCAGACAGAAGCTCGCGAAGATGCATGTGCAGCTGCGAGTGACCTATCGGAGGCATACAAATCTGCTGGGGACCTATCAATGGTGGAGGAAGTGGCTATCGGCCAATCGAAAGCCAACGATTTGGTTGGTGATCAATCGGAACCAGCGGAAGCTGCTGGTGAGCAGTCAGAGCTGGACAAATCGGAGTCTGTATGTTCAGAAGCAAGTGATTTGGCCGATACCCAAGGTGACGGAACAAGTAGTGCCAAAGAAGGAGCAGACATACCAAATGGTGACATATCGGCAGCAATCACCTCAACTGATGGTCAACTACATGGTGCCGAATCAGCACATGGCAACCTAAAAGCGGACGGAATAAGTAGTAACCAATCCAAGGCAGAAAAAATACCCAGGAATCAAACACGCAGATTCGATGCCACCCGTCTCGATGGTATGTCGACAAAGTGCGCCACGGTGCTCGCATGCGCCGAGGATTGGCTCTCGAGAACGGAATACGAAATCCTGCAAGCGTCTACCGATTCTGCGATGGAGCGGTTGCGAACCTTTGTCGCCCCATTGCTTTTCGACAGTGATAACGACGCAGACAGACAAGCGCATATAACATCGCTAGAGCAGACGTACCGCTGTGTTGTGGATGAGCACATGTATATTACTAACCCAGATTCCATCTTGCATCTGGCGCCTTTATTGGGTGTAAAGAATGCGCTTGTGCCGTTACAGTACTTTGTATCCGCTGGGTCTGCGCAGTCGCTGCAACTGGACAAACAGATCGATCAACTAGAGACCATATTGGCGAAGTACGTGCAGGGACTAGAACAGCCTGACCTACATACCATCAGGAAGTACCGAAAGTCTTTCCGAACACTGGAGAAACAGCGCAAGCAAATGCAGTATGAGATTGACATGTTGGATTCCGACCAGGAGGACGATGGTTTCGCATCGGACGCCAAAGCTACCATCAATGCCAAGCGGCAAGAGTTGCAGGCGTGGGATATAGCGCAACGTACGTACCGAGCGGGACTAATTGAGGGACTCTGCCGTCATCGCACTGAAGCCTTGCGACAGGCTGAAGCCCATTATCCCGAGCTACTCAACAGCAAGGAGTTCAGACAGGCACTGGGCTTAGACGAGCACGAGAAGGTGTGTGCGCAGATGGGTCTGTTGTGGGAAAAGTCGTCGCTATCGGATTACACGCCCGTGACAGACTTTTCCAGTGAGATAGCCAAGACTGGAGGCCGCACAGTACAACGCATGACCGGTCCACGAGGTGAGGATGTGGTGATCAAGTCGTTTGCTCTGGGGGATCGTTCCATGCGCAAGCAGTTCTTCCGCCAGTGCGAGTATCTCGCTACGCTGAGCGACGTCAACCTGGTTAAGGTGTTGGGTGTGTTTGTGGAGAAGTCGTATGGGCGTGTGGTCATGCCGTATTACTCGGGGAAAAGTCTGGAGGTATGGCTGGACACACACAAACCAACCGCGCGTACAGTAGAGGAGTGCCAGCGCCTTGCAAGGGAGGTACTGACGGGTGTAGCGTCCTTGCATGTGCGAGGGTTTGTGCACTGTGATATCAAGCCTGGTAATGTGCTTCTGACACAGACGAATCGGTGTGTGCTGAGTGACTTCGATGGCGTGCTGAAGGTCGACGAACAGAGGGCGAGTAGTGGGGGTGGTGGACTGACAAAGTCCTTTATGGGCACTATGGGGTACTTGGCGCCGGAGTTGAAGGGGGATAGTGCTGTACCCTTCGACCACAGGACAGACGCCTATGCCGTGGGTAAGGTTGTGACCAAGTTATTCGATGATGTGAGTATACAGGATGCGGAATTGTTTGTGCATAGAGACGACTTTATCTCCCGTATGACGCACGCAGATAGAGAGTCGCGTATGACGGTCACCGAGGCCATCGACCACCCTTTCCTGGGTCTACCATCTGAACAGACGTGCCAGTGTGTGGTGTGCAACGATGTGTTCCGAGAGACCGATGGCATACGGTGTAGCAAAGGGCACTTCAACCATTCCCAGTGCATAGAGGGGTGGCTCATAGCTCAGGCGGGTGCGGAGAACCACGCACAGATGCGCAAAACCGGCGGACAATTGCCTTGTATGGGTCGATACGGACAGCTGGCCTGCGACGAGTTGTTCCCTGTGAGTGCATTTGTGAAGAATGTGAGCGCAGACGCCTTCAAGGCCTACGAGGGGGTGGTGAAGAGCATTACCGAGTCCTGTATGCAGGAGGACTTTAATATCGAGCTACAGCGTGTGAAGGAAGACCTCGAGAACCAGTTTGCTGTCCAGGGCGAGCTGGAGCGACAAGTCCGGTACATAGCAGACGACATCCTCACCATCAAATGTCCACGTCAAGGGCATGCGTTTATTGACTTCACGGGATGTTTTGCGCTAAAGTGTCATGCGTGTGACTGTCACTTCTGTGCGTACTGTCTGCAGGATTGCGGCAGAGACGCGCACGCGCACGTGAGGCAGTGTGCTATGAAGCCGCCAGGGGCGGATGAATACTATGGACAATTGAGTACGTTTAATAAACAAATGCGTGACCGACGAAGAAAATTGCTGAAGGCTCACTGGCAAACACTAACGCTGAATGCCTCGGATAAGGTCAAGCTCGCGGAGAAGATCCAGCCACTGCTCGATGCTTTGGATCCCCCACATGGCTCACTTTCGCATATTGTTTAGGGTCGTTATTGCCCTAGGCTGTTGGGTGTACCATTACAAATACGCATATCGTTGACGCATAAATAAAGTTCTGTAGTACTTTAAATTCTATCACAATGTGACCATGTTGGTGCCACTTCGTTCAGAATTGACAAGGTCATCTTAATGTGCGGCGGTATCGAGTCCTACACTCGCTTCTTGTGTACTAATAATATGGCATTAAAGATATCACTTCGAACTGCAACATATCAAATGATTGGCGCATTGCAAGGGAGGTATTGATGGGTGAAGCTTTTTTGCATGTGCGAAAATTTGTGCACTGGGATATCGAGCCTGGTAATGTGTTTCTGATACAGACGAATCGATGCGTGCTGATTGACTCGAAGGTGTACTGAACATTCACTAAATGAGTACAATAGTACATACATACATATAGACATACAAATATACGTGCATACATGCATACATGCATATATATATATATATATATATATATATTTATATAGATACATACATACACACACACACACACACACACACACACACACACA